TCTCTCTCTCTCTCTCTCTCTCTCTCTCTCTCTCTCTCTCTCTCTCTCTCTCTCCTCTGTTCTCTTTGCCTCACTTCTGGCAGAGGTACTGACGTCTCAGAACATCCGACTTCATCGAGAACCTGACAGACCCCCCCTCCCCCTCCAACACACTCACAGCACTCACCCTCGCAGACGAAGGCGCAACGCTGCGCGCCGCCCTCGAGGCGGCCCCGGCCTGCTCCCTCCTCACCAGGCTCCTCGTGGCGGCGACGAGCATCTACCTCTCGGGCAACTACGACTACGACCTGCCGGCGTGGCGAGGCCTCGGCGTGGCGGTGCCGACGCTGCCGGTAAGGACGGTCAAGACGCACTGCGAGACCATCGTGGCGTGTGCGCGTGAGGCGCTGAAAGAGAGGAGCCTGTCGCCGCTATTGCTGCTGTATCCGCTGCGCGTGGCTGGCGCGCGAGCCTGGACGGTCGAGGAGCAGGTGCTGGTCGATGGGTTGCTGACGGAGGTTGGGCGGGAGTTTGTCGTGGCGGAGGCGTTCCTGGGGGAGTTGAGGGAGATTTGGCTGGTGCGGAACGAGATGGCTGCCTTGGTTGGGACTGGGGTTGCATGACGATCATATTTACAGGTGTTGATGCTAGATATATACAACCCGTATGGCGACATGGAAGCCCTAAGCGCTAGCTACACAGAGATGCATACCCATAAATACAGCTTTCAAACGCAAGCTAGATACGCCCATGCTCATAGTTGCCCCTGACCGCTGGACAGAACTGGCCCCCGGCCAGCAAGTCGGAGTCGAACAGCTTACTCCAACCCGAGCAGCTCCTGGGCCTTGGTCCGCAATTTAAATTTCTGAATCTTACCGCTCGCCGTCTTGGGATAATCATCCACCCAAAACACATGCTTCGGCACGAGGTGGCCAGAGAGGTGCTCCCGGACCCAGCTCCGAACATCATCCTCCGTGAGTTCCTTTCCGCCCGCCGACCCCGCCTTGGCGCGCACGACAAACGCGGCAACATTCTCGCCCAGCTTGTCGCAAGGGACGCCGACGACGGATGCATCACTGACGAGCGGGTGCTGCAGCAGGCAGTTCTCGACCTCGAGGGGGTGGATGTTCTCGCCGCCGCGGATGATGAGATCCTTGATGCGTCCGGTGATGGCGACGTAGCCGTTGGCGTCCATGCTCGCCTCGTCGCCCGAGTACATCCAGGTGCGGCCGTCTGACTCGTCGATGCGGTCCTCAGCCGTGCGCGCGGTGTCACCCCAGTAGCCGCGCATGACGAGGTAGCCGGCGGCGGCGAGCTCGCCCTTTTCGCCTCGCGGCAGGATGCGCGAGCGGTCGAGGGGGTCAACAACCTTGACGGCGGTGTGGGGCATGGCGCGGCCGACGGTCGTGGTGCGCAGTCCGAGGGGGTCATCTGGCTGCGTCATGCAGCTGACGGGGCTCGTCTCCGTCTGGCCGTAGCAGATGACGAGGTCGCGCAGGCCGAGGGTTGCATAGAGGCGGCGCATGAGAGCCTCGGGTACGGAGCTGCCGGCTGCGATTCCCTTGGTCAGATTGCGGGGGAGGTCGGCAGGGTCGACGACGCCGGCGGCCAGGGCGTCGAGGACGGCGATGAACATGGTGGCGACGCCGTAGAGGCCCGTCGCGTCGTGGGCGGCGACGGTTCGCAGCGTTGCCGAGGGGTCGAAGGCGGGGGAGGGAAATAGGATGGCGGCACCCGTCGTGGCCGTGGCCATGTAGCCGAGGATGCAGCCGAAGCAGTGGAAGAGAGGCGGTGGCACAACGATGCGGTCGGAGGGGTTGAGCCCCATGCGGCCAGCAATGAACGCGCCGTTGTTGAGGATGCCCGTGTGTGTGAGCATGGCGGCCTTGGGTGTTGATGTCGTGCCCGAGGTGAACTGGATGTTGATCGTGTCTGACGCCGACAGCGGCGCGTCTGGCGTGATAGCGTTGAGGGAACCGTCAATGAGACGATCAAAAGGAGTCAGGGCGCGGTATGATTTGAGAGGAAAGTTGACGAGGGGATGAGACGCTGTGTTGTCGAGAACAACAATCGTCTTGAGTGACGGGACGGTGGGAGATTCAACCTTGGTCCCTTCAAGGTTCGGTACGAGCGACCGCAGCAACTCCTCGTTGCTTCGCCCGCGGCACGGCTTATAAGCCAGGTCTGTCACGGCTCCAATGATGAGCACCTCGACGCCGAGAAAGTCAAGACCAGCCGTCACCTGCTTGACGTTGAAGCCAGGATTAAGAGGGACTAAGATAGCGCCGAGCTTGAACGCGGCATAGGTCAAGGCGGCGAACTCGCTGCAGTTCCCGAGGCTCACAGCCAGACGGTCGCCTTTTTTGACGCCGAGAGAGCGCAGGCTATTGGCGAGACGATTGGAGAGCAGGTCCAGGGCTTCATAGGTGAGGCTCGTCTCCCGAAAGTCTGCCACCGAGGTGGGCAGGTCTGGTGCCACTGCTGTAGGCGAGCGAGCGACGACTGCTGGCCTGTCGCCGAACTGAGAAACGATGGATGCGAAGTGCTCCGGAATCGTGTGGGGTAGCAATGCAGGCTGGCCCATTGTTAGAGCTTGAGATTCTCCCTTGTGGTGGTCCCCCCGCTGAGAAACCTACCTGGTCAGGGCCAAGACTGAGACTGTCCCTCATTGCGGAGAGACATCTTCGCGAAGCCGGATCTCCGAGTCTGAGCAGTCTCTCTAGAGACCTGGGGCTGCGCTGCAGGCATCGTGAAGGGGTCAGAAGCATGGCCGATGGGCAGGCGGAGGGGGGATGTTATGGAGAAGAGGGGTTGCTGGCACCCTATGAAGCCGGCAGACTAGGACAGCTCGGTGGTATCGTTCGGGAGCATCGAGTTGAAAAGCCAGGATGGAAGAAGCTGGAACAGGGAGAATGAGAAGCAATTGTACGGTCGTCTAAGCAAAGAAGCAGAGGAGGAGGCTGATGTCGTTGCTTTGACGAGCGGTGATCATGGCTAGTGACGGGCAAGAGCCGCCTTTACCTTGGCTGGCGTTGAGCCTCGGGGAGGTGCATCCGCCAAGACGGGGAAAGCACGATGCGGAGAGAATGCGGGGTACGTACTCTTGCCGTCCCTAGCCGCCTTTGGCCTCCTAAGCAACTACCTAGGCCCTGGCCACCTACCTTCACCTAGGTAGGTACCTAGACCCTATGCACCTATAGGCAGCTAAACAGGGCACGGATCACGGCTGCTGTCTCCAACACCCACCATGACACTGCCACTCGGCCAGCCGAAAGCAATGACAAGACGAACATTTACTCGGATCAATTCCTCTCCTCCGACTCTCCTTCAACTGGGTATAATACAAAGAGAGCCAACTCAGAACACATCCATGCAACATCCTGCTCTTCAATTCCTGGACGTGCTGCTATGCTCCCTCGTCCTCCTCCACCTCTTGAAACCCCAAAAGCCACCAAGACCGTCTATGCGAAAGTAGAAGTAATACATCTATGCGCGATATCGCCCTGCCGCCCTCCGAGTGATGCACTCCGTCGCTGCGAGGGCCATTGCAGGGAGGGGGGGACGAGCCAGTCGTGCCCATGGGCCGACAACCCAAACGTCCCAACGCCGGGTTGTAGTAATGCAATGTGCCAAAACGGGCACTCTAGTCAGGGAAAAAAAAAACGGGAAAAGAAACAAGGTCGTGTCGTCGTGGCAGGGCGCCGTGGCCGCTAATCGTTGTTTTCGCCAATGTGACGCAGCGCCTCGGGCTTCCACGTGCCTGCGAGGCAGTCAGCAAAAGAGGTCGCGGAACAAACACCTCGGCGAATGACATACCTTCGAACTCGTGCTTCACAAACGCCATCGGATCGTCGTCGTCTTTGGCCCCCATCTGCTGCACGCCTGGGCTGAAGCTCGTAATCGGCAACACGACGACGTCGCCCACCTTCTTCGACTGCTCCATGCCCGTAAAGTTGCGCCAGTCAATGGGGCCCTTGGAGTGGGCCATGTCAAAGTACCGCGCGTCGTTGAGGTAGTCGAACACCGTGTCCGTCCACACGGCCGGGCCGGTAAACTCGACGACGTTGTCATCCATGACCTTGGACAGCTGCCCCGCCTTGACCCTCCTGAGTGTCTCCTCTGTGATGCGCGCGACAATGTCGCGGAGCACCGGGTGGCCGGGCTTCGCCTGAATGGTCCACTGGCAAAACTGAATCCTGCGGCTGTACCAGTCGTGCCAGTCGGGGCGGTCGGGGTCGGCCTCGATGCCGATGACGAGGCCAATGGACGTAGTGGGGATGCGGTCGGGAACCCAGTCGAGCGCAGACCGAATGGCATACGTGTCGATGTCCGAGTAGATGCCACCGCGCGCCAGCAGGATGAGGTAGCGGAAAAAGTCGGCCTTGAGCACGGGCAGCGGCAGCGCGTTGTAGGCTTCAAGCACCTCGGGGACAGAGGCGTACAGCAGGCGCAGCAGGTCCACTGCCACGCTGTCGGTGATGACCTCGTGGATGAAGCCGGGGTGCTGCTCCGTCCAGCTGGCCTCCTGCTCCCGGAACTCAAACTTGCTGTCCCGTGGGGTCGTCTTCCACGTCTGCCACACGTAGGCAGGGAACTTGGTCTCGACGTCATAGGGATATTGGTACGCAAGCTTCTCGTAGAGGGGCAATTTTGACATGTCCATCATGGGCTTCTGCGCGGAGACGCGGGCGTTGGGGTCGGTATTGCGGTGGGGAGACGACGAGGGCGTCGCCGCTGGCTTGGCATCGTTGGCTTTTTGCGTTTTCGGCGCCGCTGGCGAGTTGGCTATCGGCGTGTTGTGGGTTGATGTGATGAGATAGAAGACGATGAGAACAAAGGCCGCCGCGGCCAGGGCTCTCCTCGGTGTCAGCATGCTGCTGAAGTTGATCTGTCAAGGGCGGCAGGTATGTGTATGGTATGCGTCTTGTGTAGTAGCACTCGAGGCTAGGAGGCAGAGGGACTTGGGCCGTGGTCGTGATGAGGTTCGAACGTCGGATGGAGGTTGTCGTAGATTACGATCGTCCGTTTGGCAAATGGCGAGTAGAAAGATTGGTCGGTTGGGTGGCAGAAGTGGTCCTGGGAGGTTCTAGTCAGCTCAGAAGTCCGGTTCCGCGCTGTCGATGGGCACCGTGGGGCTGATCATGCCGTTTTTTAAGACAAGTGGGCGGGCAGCAAATGGTGGACAGGCGATGACGAGCAAAAGAAGGACAGGGCCAGAAGAGGGTCATTGGGAGGTCTTGTTTGAGGGCGCGACCCGGAAGAAGCAACGCGATGGCGGGTTGGGACCAAATGTCTCGCCGTGCTGGTCCAGATGGAAGGCCTCGAGAATGTCTCGCAGCGAGGAAAGCCCAGCCCTGACCCGAAAAGGCAGTGCTGACGACGAGGACGCGTTGCAGTCGGGGAGGCTGCCGAGTAGCGGCGGGGGAGATCCGAGACGAACCTTTGAATTGAGCCCGATGATGCGATGCACACAGGACGTAGCAGAAGAGACCGCGTCGTCGTGTCCGAATGGGCGACAGTAGGGGAGCGAAGTGCCGGCGACAGGCAGGTGGTAGGCGAAGAAGAAGAAGAAGAAGCAGAAGCAAGAAGAAGAACCAGAAGGAGGAAGAAGAAACAGCAGAGGGCCAAGTGGGAATGCACAGGACGAAGAAAGGTCGTGCGAGGTCGCGAGAAAAGAGCGAAGTCGCGAGAGAAGAGTGATGATGTTTATGACGAGATGATGGGACCAAGGGAGTGGACAGCAACAGCTCGACGAATCCGCCAGACAGTAGGGAAAATACGAGATTGACGACCAGGCCAGATGGAATTCAGGGATCACTGGTGCTTGGGTTTTCGGTGGTGAACGTTCGTTCGTACGCTGCCTTGGGTACCTAGGTACATGTACTTTAGACGGTGCACAAGAGCAGGGGGCGCTGGGCCGCCGTTTGATAGGGGCAGAACGATCGACACAAGTCGAGGTGGGGGCCGCTCACTGTACGGTCAAGGAGTCGACGCCCGACGCGGTTTAGCGTTGGGGACAGTGACGACACCCCCCTTCTCATGGCGAAGCTTTTAGCTGCCTGTCAGCGTCTCCCTCGGTTGGGGCCTGAAGGGGCCTGAAGGGGCCTGGAGAGGGCCTAGTTTCAGTGGCACGCAAGGTCTCAATCTGGTGTCAGGCTCCTTGGAGAGAGTATTCGGTCCCAAAGAATTGAATTCTCGACGACCATGGGATCCTCAACACGAGAGCCCGCACCAAAGAGTCAGTTCCTGAAAATGGACAAGCGCCAACGAATCCCTTCACCTCCAAATCGATGCAGTAGCCAGATGCTCGTTTGGGACTGGCCTCGTTTCATCGGCGAACCCCTTGCACCTGCACCGCCTGCATTGTCTGCATCGTCTACACAGGCTGCACAGGCTTCACAGTGGGGGGCTCCCAAATAGACTTCATCGCTCCTGCCGATCCCCCTTCGTCGTGTTGCTGGCCTGAACAAACTTCTGGCAAGAGTTACCACTCCGAGCTTGCTTCTTTGCCCCCTCTAAGCCTCCGTTCTGTGGCATGCAACCTCGGTCTGGCGTCAACTCCGTTCCCAGTCTCGGCCAGCCAGGTGCCATCAGCTGACGAAAGCGCCAACCGGGCGCACGTTGGAGCGAGCTTTCTGTCGGCTTGAGATGATCCTTCAGATAAATCATCCATCGCTTACTTCAAACCACCTCATCGCAATACCCAGCGATATGTGTGACGACCTAGTCCGTCTGATCTCACTGCACAGCTCTGCAGCCCGCCAGCTTGGCTATGGCTGCCCTAGCATCTGTCATCGGGCTTGAAGCCCATCAAACATGCCAGCGATCCGCCTTGATGCTCCCTTCATCAATCTGACCCCAACCTCGCATCGGACGGTTATGCGGCCACACAGTCTCTAGCCGAGCAGAACACAGACATGTCCGTTTGGAACCGAGTCGACATGAGACACCCGTCTGAAGTCTGCTGCTCTTTTTCAATTGCCTGGGACTCGCTGGCGAGGGAACACCGGTATCTCCTCAGCTGCCACAGTTGTGGCCGCTGTGACCGCTTCGTGATCCCACTCACCACGGATCGCTACGGACCACCACCGCTAGGCCACCCACTCGCAATGGCACGGATGGCACGGCGCTGGTCGACGATCTTTTGTGGAATGACGTGGCGACGCCTCGGCTTTCCTGTTGACACCTTGTCAAATCTGCTCATGTGGGGATGGGTGTTCGGTGCGTTGATGGTGTCTCTGACACCCACTCGAGTCAGCGTCATGGACCGCTTGGGCTGTGAAATTCTTTCATGGTCTCAAAGTCTGAGATCTACTAGCTGTTGGCCTGGATGATAACGTCTAGGTTCAAACACGATGTCGTTGACAGTAGTACTCGAAAATGCTACGGTAGATAGATCAAAGTGGCAGTGCGACGTTGTTTCGCCACTTTACAGTTCTTGGGACAACATGTCATCGATTGCCGAATGACTCCTTCACGAAGCCAGCACAAAGTGTCTGCATCTTACAGCTCTCTGTTTGAAGTGGTATGCCTTTCCAACCTACCGACTAAGGCACCTGGTAAAACGCGTTGCGCTGGCTGTTGGCGATGGTCATTGCAGCTCTGGTGTGCCGTGGGCTACACACCCTCCCATGCTTTCTCAAGGTAGATGCTTATAGGATCGCTTACAAGAGCCGTTTGACCAGGACCAGTTCCTACGGTCGGCCCCAGCAGAGCTGAGCGGCAGACCTCACACGCTCGTCGGTGCGTTGCGGCAGCTATTCAATCGAGCTAAGAGGATGCGTATTGAATCAGCGTTCGCTCATTCAATTGATTCGCCTTCGTACAGGTCCAGGCCCCAGGCCCCAGGCCCATATACCGCCAGCGGGTCTAACCCGTAACATCAACGCCCAAGGGTCACTACTGTGAGGGGGCCGGTCTGGAAGAAAGCAATGCAGTCGCCAAGGTATCGTCGATGGCGAAGCTGAGGGGTTCGAGTACCATACGAATGGAATAGAATGACCTGCCCTGTGGCCGCCTGTGGCCTGGTACGTGCCTACGTTATATGTATAAGCCTGCGTGGCCTAACTACTCAGATAAACACATTCAGCCATCTGACACCTACAGAACAGCCATATAGCTTCTGTCGTGTTCTGTCGTGACGCCTGCCTGGCCCCCTAGACTTGTCCTAGCACGAGCGGCACAAGAGCCGTAACTGCTTGGATGCATGCAAAATCTAGGTACATCTATCGTATTGGTTTAAATTATGTAATCCATCATAGCCAGTATGCGTAGCTATGTGCGTTCTCCAGTTCATATCTATGTACTGTCAGGAGTCTGACCCGATGGAATGCGATGCAGTTGCCGAGGGCTCGATGATAACCAAGAAGAAGGGTTTGTGTACTCTTAAAAGCATAAATAGATTACTAAAGACTTGAAAGAGCCAAGTTCAAGACTGCAAAGAGACTGAGACCTGACATCTGATTGCGAGGGCTCGCCAGGTCGACAACTGCGTGGACCCGCTTCGCTGTAGCCCGACATATATTCCTAACACGTAGTAAATTCACAGTTCATTACTCTAGCAAACATAAAGCTGTAGGCACATATGAATGCTACTAGGGATAGTCTCTATCTTTATATGAGCTAGATACTGTTGTATGTTTATGATTCCGTACATCAAGAGTAAAAGTGTAAGTCGTCCTTTTTCAGAAGTTATTTCCCATATTCACAGAGAGATGAAAAATTAATTCCAGACAATGCCGTGCACATAGTCCGGGCAACAACTTCACTATCTATATACCTCACTTGTTATACATTTTATTCGAGATAAGACACCTTTAAGTTAAACTCAGAACACGGCCGTCAACCTCGGTTAATCAACTTTTCAACAACAATACCATTCTCGAGGTTAGAGTACCATGCACTCAAAAGTATATATAGGAAGCCAAATGTAGCCATTTCATTCTTTCAGCTGTCAAAGCAGGATACCTTCATCAGGCGGCATATCGCGTCCTCGCCATGGTGGTCCACCCGCTGTCGCCTCTCACCAAGGCCGAGCTTGAGCAGGCTCGCGACATTGTCAAGCTGCACGAAGCCGGACACACTCTCTTCTTTCGTTCCGGCTGTCTTCAAGAGCCTGTCAAGTCAGAGCTTGTCCCATTCCTCCAGGCTGAGCATGAGGGCCGCCTGACCGACGATACCCCGCGGCCGCCGCGCCTGGCTCTTCTTCAGTACGATGTCATCCACGCTGCCTCCAAGTCGGTACAGTATACTCAGTCCATCATTGACCTGGGGCTTGGGAAGCCAGTCGAGCGACGTGTTGCCGATCCCAAGCGCCAAGCGAGCATAAGCCTGTAGGACTATCCGCCTGCCCCACAGTGAAATGGCAGCAACTGACGGGAACTAGCATGGAGTTCGGCATCTTCCAAGATGCGTGCGTCAACTCGCAGGTTTTCAAAGATGCCCTGGCTGAGTTCGCCATACCCGAGCACTTTGTCATCGCCATTGATCCGTGGCCGTATGGGGGCCCGGATGCCGGAGAGGACGTTCCCCGGGTCATGCAAGGACTCGTCTTTGCCCGTGACACGTCAAGCAAGAATCCCGATTCGAACTACTACGGCAATCACATTCCCATCTCTCCCGTCGTAGACCTCGCTACAGGCGAGGTCATCCGCATCGATCGCCTGGCGACGGGCGGCGAGGAAGATGGCATCGGCGCCCACCCTCGACAGGCTGCCCCAAGGCCACTCTTCGAGAACGTCAAGCCTGCAGAATATATCGAGGAGCTTCTCGACCGGCCTCTGCGGACAGACATGAAGCCCATCAACATTACGCAACCAGAGGGGGCTTCTTTCACGGTGCATACCGACAACCTCGTGGAGTGGCAAAAGTGGC